CGAAGGGGCGAAGGGGCGAAGGGGCGACGGGGCGAAAAGGAGGGGGGGGGATGGGTGGTTTGGTTGTCGACGGCGGTGGCGGCGGTGGCGGCGGTGGCGGGGATCGATATATTTAGAAGAGTTCGGGTGAGGTAATGTCGCGTTGAGGTGTAGTCCCCCATCTCTCGTGGGGAGCGAGCGGCGTTTGGTAATCGGTCGAAGCCGTTTGCGTCACGGAGGAGTCGGCGTAGGCTCGTTGGAGTGGGACGCGGCGGACTCGTCGTTTCTTCTCGACTTGAGCGAAATCATCGGCGAGAGAAAAAGAGCGACATGCAAAGCTCCGCGCTCGCGCGAACGCCCGCCGTGACATAACGTAAGAAGAACTTCCGGCACGCGCGCTCCCAATGAGCCCGCTCGCTTTTTTCCTTTTCTTTTTCTTCTGTTTGTTTTCGAAAAAGTCGCGACGACCTCGAGCGCCACGTCCATGCGCTCTCGCTCTCGCTGAATTTTGCGTGCGTTACTTTTTTGCGCACGGCGCCCGACAGAGACGAGAATTCGCGCCCGCGGAGCGCGCGAATTCCACGGGCCGCTCTTTTTCTCGTTGCTTTGCGGCCTTGTCGATATATGATTGCGATCGCTCGGCCGCTCGCTCGCGCCTCGCGTTACGTAATTCAGGGTCACCCTGCCCCCACCGCCGGGGCGCTCATCGGCACGACTTGGAAGTTTTAAGCGATTATGGATTTCGCAGAGCCGTATGGATTGATGTAGTCGAGCGATGAGATGCGATTGTTGGACAACGAGTCTCGCGGGCTTGGAGCTACTTAAAGGTAAGGAGCGAGTGAGCCTCGTTACGGGCGATTGTTACGTTGACGGACGTTGGCCAGACGTTTATCCGATCGAGCGTCGAATTGAAATTGGCGCGTGCATGCGCCTCGAATTTCATGCTTCGCTTGCTACGGGTACGGATGTCGGCACGTACATGTTCGAGCGGCGTGCTTCATTCGGATACGGACGATTGTCGTTGGAAGTGAGCTGGTGCCGATGAAACACTTTTATCTCCGGTGCCCTTTCTTTATCCTTTCACCCCCATTTTCCAGAGCCCCAGCACGCAACTTTATTAATCGATTATCGAGGACATTGAAACTCCATCGATTTCATGCCTTTATTTTTATGCATAAAAATCAATATGCATTATACTTACTTAGGTACTTAGCCTAGCTACACAGCATTGTAAATCAAGGAAACCATTAGCTAAGGTTTTTACCGTAAGGTTTTTACTTAAATTATACCCGGTTAGGTAAGTAAGGTATAATTAATTTTTTACATTTATATATTTTATATTTTTAGGCAAGATTTGCCTCGAATTATATTGTTCAGTTCATCGTTCACAGATTAGAATTAACCATTGTAATACATTTTTCAATCAATCAATTATTTTCAAAAGTGGATGATTCGCTCGTTCATCATTATTCGCAGCTATGAGCTTATAATAATTTTATCGATTTTTAACTTTTCGGTCGATTTGAAGTCCCGATTTATGTTGCTCGCATAAACGGCCGATATTGCTTCGATAATGTTCAATACATCTGTGATCTTGCCAACAATTACATATTAATTGCATATTAACACGCGTGATTTGCTTATCGTTTTTTGATTTTACAGAAAAACGAACTCGTAACCTCCGACCTTGCGATTAATGTCGAGGCTGAGCACCGCAGATATCGATATTTGAAGAAGTTTGTGGTTTTAGATGGTCAGGGTCTCGAAACCCTTCGAAAGTTACTTTTCAAGGTTAATCGAACATTTACACCTGACACTATCGATACCTTTTAATAGCGTTGTTTGTCCTTTTCTCACGTCACGTTGAAAATGAAAAACATTTGGCTCCACCTACAGCAACAAATTTTATATGAAACGTCATAAAAAATATAGAAACTTTAATTGAAATCTGTTCTTTTCTTTTTTTTTTTTTTATATTGGATTTCAGTGTTCTTACATAAATTTAATAATAGTCGATAGGTTGGAAATTGAAAAAAAATATTGATATAACATTTAGTAGCAATTAAATAACTAGATTTTTTTTTATTTTTTTTCATTTATTTATTTATTTATTTATTTATTTTTTTTTTTTTTTATTAAACAACAACGTCATAAAGTTTTTTTATATAAAATTATGACATAAATAATGCATAATAGAATCTTAATATTTTATTCAATATTTCCAATGTATTATATAAATTTGAACTAATTCTTGATGTAAATAAAAAAATTTTGCAACGACAGAGCCAATTAAGGAAATGAAAATCAAAAAAATTACGGCAAATTTTTATACGACTCGAAGAAGTAGCAATGTAGATTGGAAACTCACTCTAACGAGGTGATTGACAATCATTTTAATGAATTAACAATGAATGACTAATAGCATTATAGTGAAGAAAGAATTGACTTTTCCCACAACAAATTACTAATAATACCTCGAGTATCGACGCATTAAGGTAAAACGTATTAATTGACAAATTTGTTAATTATTCGGCTACAGAGCTGAAAGTCATTTTAAGGAATTTATTTATCGTTCGCGTTTAACGTGCGGCATTAAATACCTTGACGAGCGATTGATCGGAGCACTGGAATTAGCCTACATATCTCTTATTTTCTAGACACGTGACGCTAGCGGCGCTCGAAATACCAATAGCCCAAAGCAGAATATTTCGACAATGCATAAAATGGCAAAGCCGCGTACTTCCATATTCTAGTTGGCGACCTTTGTTATGAGCGATCGCGCAGTATAACCCGGTTACATGTTAATCCGTGCAAATTTCCAAGACTCGTGTACTCGTAATCGCGTCCTTCGTTTCTCTCGCAGTTTGCGCTTCGTCCGATATTTCCTCCCGGCCTCCCCAGCACCGCTCTTTTGTTCTTCGACTGTTCACCGTATCATAATCTCCTCCGCCTCCTATGCAAAATCAATCTGGCTGGACTCATCATGTGTCCCGGGTCGCGCGAGGTCGCTGTAAAAAAAAAAATCCACGAATGAAGGGCAAATAATAAATCGAGAGCCATGATCCGACCAATGTGAAACGTAATATCGTATATTACTTGCTTTATTCGCAATTTCGTTGTTGTTTAATATTTTGCGTTTTTTTTTCCACTGGTTCAACTTCGAAGCCTAACTGATGGATGCCTGAGTCGTGCATTGATTATACCTTCTATTTTAATGAAACGACGCTTATAAATAAACAATGCGTCGAAAAGTCAGTTTGAATTTAAGTAAATTAGCATTTGCGTCAGTTGAAATTTAATTTTTTCGAATGCTCTTGTTCCATTCAATTAAAATCATGGATTATTTTTAAACAGTTTATCATAATTTCTTAAATTATATACTTTGTTTTAATGGCAGGTAAATTAAATCGCTTGTAGTAAATTTTAAGATTATTATAACAAAGTATTGAAACCAAGGCTTTTGACGAGGATTAATTATATGCCAAACTACATTTCCAATTATGTTATTCCTTTATATATATATATACACACACACAGACACACACACACACACACACACACACACACACACACACACACACACACATATATATATATAAGAATTATATAATTGTTAAAAACCAATTGTTAACAGTTAAATAATATTTTATTATTAATGATCTTAGTATTAAATACGTGTATATCATTTGATTTTTCAAAAATACTTATGTTATTTATCTCGTGTATGTATCATTTGTAAATTGTGCTGTTGAATAACTTAATCAAGTTTTTGTCTGAATTCCTATGAAAGTTATTGACAGAAACTTGAGCTTAAAGACGATGTCCTTGTTCTTAAATCGGAATTAAAATCCGAATACTTGTTGGACAGTAGTATAGGAAATTTTTGACATCGTAATTTAATCAATGAAGCTTATTAATTATTTAATCTAATAAATGTATACTAATTTGTATCAAACAACTTATTTTCTATATTTTCTATTAGTGTATTTTAAAGATTCTTATAAAACAATCTTTATTTTCAGTTTATTATTAGAATAAATTTTTATATCTGAACTGTAGCTACGAACTGTGTTACGAAAAATTCTTATTATATAAATCTTATAAGAGCAATAAATTGATGGGGCAACTAAAAAGAAATTGTAATTTTGTTAATCAAAATTTTCTTACTATATTTTAGATATAGTAAAACTAAAATTTTGCACAAATACAATCATTATGTATATGTAATATATATATATATATGTATTTTTTAAAATTGTGTTCAATATTTATGCATAATACATTCGGAGTTTCCTATAAAAAACAAATTTAACGTCGAGTGTTAATAAGTTACTTGTGAGTTAAATTGAAACTATAACTACGACACTTTAATTCAATAAATCTATAGTATTTAAAAAATTGTATTTGAATTAGTTGGATGATATATAGAAAAATATTTTTTTCATACCCATTTATATTCATTTTCTAGTTTGGCACTAGTTCATGTGTATCAATTTGTAAGTTTAGACTTTAAATTATTGTAAATCAAACGAATTTGATAAGAATGTTAAGAATATTGTACGTGAAAATACATCGTTGGTTAATATTTTTTAATTACGGAATAATTATATCCAATAAAGATAAAATATCAAGGTATCGTATAATTTATTTATATTCATATTTACTTACCGATATTTCATTCACTTACCTCAATGTCAAGAATAATAATGAATAAAGTAAATCTATCATGGCTACAATTTGATTTGACAAATTAATAAAATCCAATATAATAAAATAATTGATTCTTTCGTTTATTCATAATAACGCGATACATAATTAGTTTCAATTATTTTTTTCCTATTGGCATACAGATATAACAAAATAAGCAACCAATAACATACGTCTGTACATAAACAATTGAATTAAAGAAAAAGACGTATAGTATAACGGATTTCTCTGATAATGAAAGAGCATATTTAAAAAATCTTTTAGCTCCGGCATCTTTTGTATAATAATTACTAGCAGTATGTTTTTGACGGGCCACATTTTTCCATAAATTTTTAAAGCACAGTCCGATTCTTAAATTAAAATAGCTCAATCAATTTTGGAATACAGGAACTCGCGTTAAAGTAGGTTAGTTAGAGTTATTCGTACCTTGGATGGATGGGATATCCTCACTTCATCGCTCGTCATTTTCGGGTGGGACTCGTTACACCGTATTCGTCTCTCACGCTCGTTGACGTTTCATTGGCTGCTCGTTCTTCCTTTTTTCTCGCTACAGATTGATAGTAATTGATGCTCGACTTGGCCGTCTACGCGATTAATGCTCGTTACTGAGTTCCCTCGTCCCTGTGGGTATATGCATTTCGTTAGGTATCCAACTGGTTGCGCGTATTTGTAGTTTATTGGACTTGAGAGTTGAGATTAATATTTAACGATGAGTCTGTCACTGCCCTGACGTCTAAGTTATGCTTGCTTAATGCTTAATGGTTTGCTTTTCTATTTCTCATCTTTTATAAGCATACTTTATTAAACATTTCAATCAATATCAAATAGGCTCTTATTTATTTATTTTAAGCATTAAGTGCTTATAAGAGTAGAATTAATAAATTAGTACCTTACCGCCTCTACGTAATTAGTGACTTGCTTAATGTATATACACTATTTCAACGGCCGTAATACTTTATTACACCACGATTATCAGTCATTACAACACAGTTAACAAGCACCAACGAGTAATAGAATGTTGCTGTAAGAAATTAAGAATGCAAATGTCAGGAAAACGTTTGATACATCTCGCCGGATTCCCGTCGAGTTATCCAGCAATTTTTAACTCATACGTATGCATTTTTACGGCCACATAGTCTCAGATGCGTTGCATAGGCCATTTTATGCATTATGGAAGCGTGTCGCGCAGATTAATCGTATGATTTGTCTCGAAGACTCGAAACTTCGTAATGTCCGAAAGAGTCGACGACTCGAGTTCAACAAACACTCGGGGATCAGCCCGTCCTTCTTCAAACACACGCGCCTTACATTACGTGTAAAACATAAATGTGTAAAACGTTAGTCACCTTCTGCTCGGCCATCGTGAAATCGCTACTTTCATCCCGAAATGCTATTATTTTTATAAACGCTTGTTTGTATTTAAATATTTAAGTGGCTACTGTCGGGGGACATTTTTCTCCATCTCTCATTATGACCATCGAGCATTGCATTGAGTCGAGTAAATCTTAAATATAGTAGTAATAGAAATAAATGAATAAAATTTCAAGCAAATAGTTTTTCATCAATATTTTATTAATATTATAAAAGATTGAATTGAAAAAGATTTTAATTTCAATAAATTATTCTTATTTACCCAAAGCAATTATTCCAAATCAATAGCTAAATAAATGTTCAAATGAAGTTATTCTTTTTAAATTAATTGTTAAAATAGAATTAAATCTAAAAGCTAAGATGAAAGACTCTAAGAATAATGTTTGAAATTATCGAAGCCCTCAGTTTTAAGGTAAACTATATTTCGTTTAGAATTAATACCGAGGCAATCTTTAAATGACTTTTAGACTATTTTGAAAATATACTAGATTTGTTACATTGTTAACAAACGAATGCTATAGTCTTCGCTCGATTTAAAAATCTTGCATCATAAAAATTACCTTTGAAGAAAATCTAAAGACATTGAGACAACCAGGCTCTAAAACAAATAACAAAAATCAAAAACACATACTAGTTATTTCACTTCCCAAGACAATTGGTTTTAGAATTTCGGATAAAATGGTATGATAGAAGGTCAATTAAATCAAAATTAATTGGCTAATCGTTGTTTCGTTCAAGATCACATTTCGAATGATTGATCGTTAAAAGTCGAGATAAAAAAATGTAAAAGTTCTTCCATAATCGATATCAAGCTCTATACCTCCTTTCCCCTCTCACTCTCTCACTCTAAATAATATAAAATTGAAAGACTTAGTTTGTATTTATTGGATAATTTATAATTTTGTTATAATTAAATGAAATTATCATGATATCATAGTTGGGTGATTAAATATAGAAAAATATCGTTCCATTGAAAGTTTAAAAAGCCATCGCTGTACGATTAGTAAGACACCTAATTTAATTGCTGTGAAACAAATAATGATTAAGAGCGTTTAATTATTCCTTTTATGACGCAGACTTGACAAGTGCTCAAGGAAAAGTACTACCGTCACTTTACCCTCTGCTATATATTTTAATATTAATGCCACGTAATCCACGGCGTTTCATAAATGTTTCATGAATGAATCGTCAATATATCGAAAGCCCACGCATAAAGTCAAATGTCCATAAAATTCATAATCGATGATTTTCAAAGCATTGCCGATGGCCTGAAATTCCTCAGACTTCGTATTCCCCTTCCAGCATCTGAATTCAGAAAAGCAAACGAGCCCTCACTAGCCACTCGAAACTTAAATCGCACGATCGGGCTACACGCTCCTCGTGCCGATAATCTAATGTCTAGCCGTAGCCGCGTACGTCCCATTCGCCATTCCAATTAAAAGGAACGGCGTAAACGCGCACTCCAGCGACTTTTGTTGCCCTAATAATTCACCGAGCTCAAGGCTCCTCCAAGCTCCAAGCTTGGCGCTTTATTAATGTCGCTACGAGAGTTTGGGCCGTCCGATAGATGGCCGTAACGAAGCCGAGGATTGGGCTTTTAATGCAGCGACACTGGGTTTAGAAAATATTTGGCACGCCGTTATATGCGACGGCGCAGGAGGTAATTGACTTTGCGCTGGGGCGCGATGCAAGAGAGCTTTTACTCTTGACTGATAATTAATTGTGCCAGCGAGTTGGCGCGCCATCGGGATAATTCATTCACCTTGTCGAGTGGCCATCTAGCAAAAACAGAAACAAAAACAAAAAAAAAAAAACAAAAAAAAAAAAAAAAAAGAAAACAAACAAAAAAACAAAAGAAAAGAAAAGAAAAGAAAACAAGGGGGAGGGGAAACGAGAAAAAATTATGAAAGATATTAGCTCATTAACATATGGAGCGCTGCGTAAAGCCAGTCGTAATAGTTGGTTCGCACTTGCGATAGTTAATAATCGTACTTGAGCAATTAGTCGAAAGGTTAATTTACTCCACTTATATAGGCTTTAACGTAAGAGTTCCAATTAATTTCTTTACTTTTTTCTACATTCGATTCATCTCCGTTTTATGAAATTAGCATAGGCGCGTTTTAAACGTAGAGTTCAAGTGGCGTTCGTAAAGTATAAATTGGCTAGTGAATTTAGGAGAGGAGGCAGTCTTTTTTACGCACAGCAGTGCAACTTGTTTATTTGAGGAGGACAACGCACGATAGATCGCCACTTGTAAAAGATAATTGCCCTAATATTATTATTGCGATCGATAATACTTGAATTGAAATCAATAGTTTTTTTTTTTAAATACATTTCGTAGCACTTGGAGTATCGGAGTATGATTGTCAAGAGTATTGAAAGTGCCAATTTGAATGTGGGTAATGCTACGTCTCATTGACATCATTTGATTGCGACAGAGAATATTTTGAGCGTGGCAAGAAGCAATACACCGGCCTAAATAGAATTTCTACTGGTGTTGTCTCGAAGGCAAAGAGCTCGAAAAAGGAGAACGTAGCAAGAGGTGGAAGCGCGAGGGGGGGGGGGCAAAAGTGGCAAGGGGTGGGAGATGTAGGATGGCGCATGGATTTTACACGGGGGAATCCGTTTCAAGGCCACGATGGTGCGAACCGGTAAAAGCCAAGGGAGAAAGAGAGACAGATAGAAGTTGCGTGTCACGCGACGATGTGAGATACGAGCCTTCATGCTTTCTACGTCATGATGCGTGACGCCTTGTCCGTTATTTTTCCTCGTCAATGCTTTTTCCGTTTCCTTCGCATTGTATTACGAGTATTTTACTCTTGATTAGCGCAAGGATATTGCGATTAATTTGTCAGAGTTTGCTCTAGTAGTATTCTAGCATCGTTTCAATACATACTAATGGGTCGTATTTGGTAAATCAAATGTTTTTAGCATTGACATAGTTTACTTAATAAATTAATTTAGAAGTTACGGACGGAAAGATAATTTGGAAGAAAAATTACTCGCTAGTACTTGAAAATTTATTCGATTAAATAAATGTCATTATTATAAATTTGTAGGTTCAGTGATAAAGATCGTCGTAAAGGTTTCATTTATTTAGATAAACATTTATCTATAACTTTACATCACATGCTTCATATGATTTGCATAATTTTCAAATACTGTACGATGAATCTTTTTCTTTTAATTTCTCTCTCTCTCTCTCTCTCTCTCTCTCTCGTTGTCTCTCTCTCTCTCTCTCTCTCTCTCTCTCTATTCAAACAGCCTAATTAATTAGAATTTAAGCAATTTTCTAAATTATTTAATGTATAATTATCATGGATTGTGCATATCCTTTGGTGCTCTTACACCTTGTTATTATTATTACAATAACTTCGTTTCGTGCCTCGTTTTATCGTTCGTCAGTTATTCATTATATGGGACGTGTCGCTGAAATTTGATAAAAATCAGTGAAATTAGAATAAAAACTGCAGTAACGGAGAGTGCAGTAAGACGCCTAAGAATTACCGCTCATTATTGTTTATATCAGACCGTCGAGATAAAATAGTGAAAGTCCAGGAAAGTAGCATGGACAATGTCATTCCATAATTTAATCGAAGTCTAGTTGAGTGCAATGCTTAGGCTCGTCCGATATTAAGCTGAATATTACACCAATCGATCAAACTCACAAATATTAGCAATGGAATAATGAAGAGTATGGGATAAAGAGGGATAGAAGCTCGCGCTATATTATTCTCGAGATGGCTTCGACAAGATATATGACTTTCTAAATTTATAGATACATCATCTGGCTGAGTTGTTCTATCAGCGCTGCTAGCACCACTTCATCCTCGGTCTCTGCAAAGCAAATTCAACGTCGCGCGTCAAAATCTCACTCGATCGCCTCATCCATGGACCGAGGGTATTCTGCAGAAATTTTCCATCAGTCAAACGGTCAAACTTAATCCCCGTGCGAATCCGAAAAGCTCAGTGGAGCCGGTGGGCAGTCCGTCGAGTGGAATAAAAAAAAAATCACCAGACGGATTTCAGCGTTGCTCATTGTGCTGCGCAGCACCGGCGAAAGGCCTATTTTTAGTCGCCATTGACATTTGCACTTTCTCGGTTGCCACGCGCGCCGTCTAATAAACAGGCGCAGACGTTCATCGTTTTCGGTCTGCACGCCCACGTAATGCGTCCTTCGGGCGTTGAGCGATCGGGGAGTCTGCTCCGGGCTCATTTTTTCTTCTTTGAAATAACCTCGGCCAAACATTCTAGCCGATTATCGGAGGAAGCTAGGAATCTTTGAATCTGACTCATTTAATTATCATCTATTAAATTCATTTTCTCTCTCTCTCTCTCTCTCTCTCTCTCTCTCTCTCTCTTTTTCATTTTATACCGCTTCTCCGAGACATTAGGAGTGATTCGTTGGGTTTCGGCGTGACCTTGTAGTCTCAATTTATCGTTACAAATTTTTTTCTTCTTTACTTTTTTCTTTTTAATTATTCCTATTATATTATCCAAAGAAGTTTGAGCCAAATGTGGGTATTCGTGATATTGGCTTAACTACTCTGCCCAATTGGTCGTATATCTCGTCGAGATTATATTACCGTTTTAATATTAAGTGTCATCAAATAAATATACACCTGCGTTTGTAAAATCCGTGTGAATTATGGTTTTCGTAGCTTAATGCCGTGACTAGAATTATAAGCTCGCTATTTTTACATTAAAATACTAAAAATCTATAACAAATATTAATTGAATTTTAACTCCACCGTCTGTCTAATTGACAGATGTATTAATTTTTAGAAAACCAATTTTTCAGAATAATAAATATTATCGATGTATTGGAGTTATGGACATAAAAATTAATCATTGGTTAATAATGAAATATTATTTATAGGGAGAATGTATGCTATACATATACGTATGCCTATGTATGTATATATTACCTATAATGCATTAGATAATTACTATAATTACTAGATAACTAGAATCAATTATAGTTAGCTAGTTATAAATTTCTATTATTATAATACATTTTATCATTAAAGCAGTTACATTATCATTTGTAAACAGGATTCTGAATAATCAACTTTTCAAATCTTTATTTACTTATGCTTACAATGTATGCGTAAATACTTTTTACGAGACAAAAAATTTTAAATTTATTTCACTCAATAAAATATTCAGTCCTTTTTCCCCTCTATGTACTTTATAATTTTGCATACATAAAGAAAATGAGTGAAAGAACAAGAGCTACGAGTCAAGTTATAGTATACGTCTTTTACAACCGTTCTAGAATACCTTGGAAAGACTCAATGAGACGAAACTTTCTATTTATTTCATTTTTACATCGTCTTTAATAATCCAACGGTACAAAGGTAAACACCACTGTAAATTTACTCGTATTGTTAGCAGAGTTTTTTTATCTACTACGCTGAGTATATATTTTATAGATAATTTCTAAATAACCGAAGCCATCCTGATAAGAACAAGTATCCAAAGAAGCAATGAAGTAATTTGAAAATCGTCAATTAATAGAATATCTCATTTTATCGTTCAATTTCTTGAATGATTTAGAAAACTGGAAAAATCTTAAATAGAATCTCCATGGTTTCAGTTTCTATTAGATAAAAGGAAAAAACTATTTGACGCTTGTTATTTCCATCGACTTTATAAGACTTTAGGGGTCAAAATAAATCAGTAGTAAAAAAAAAAATCATAGTTTAGAAAGTATTTACATCTTTTATTATCGTTAATTCTCAGCAGTCAACATAACATGCAATTTGTATGCAGTAAATTTATGTTTTTTGATATGCAGATGGGCGTACATTATAAAGGATTTTTTTTTGTTTTGTTTAAAGAAGGCTTCTCCAGAATAGAATGCATTTTGAAAAAACATAAACACAAATGTGGACGACGATGATTTATGAACCTACATCATTTTTGCACAAAAATTAATAAAAATTAGTTATCTTTGAAATTCGAGTTATTATTTCGTTATTATGAATAGAAAATTTAAAAAATAATTTAGACCATGAGTATACCATTGGTTTGAATCGAGCGTTTTAAGTTCTTTTACATCCCTTTTCTCTGCAACCAGTGCACTTGAACGTATTTCTTAATATGGTTCATGATCATTTAGAAAGAGTTTTGTAAAAATGCAGAGAAGCGCATTTGTCGAAATAATCATCGTTTTAAAATAAATGCCTTAAATATGATTGCAGAATTCAATTTGTATTGACTTTTTAATATAACTTTAACAGAAATGGAATTAAGCCCAATTGTGAAAGTTCCAAAGAGGGTCAAGAAAACATAAAAATATTTATATAAGTTGGCTTATAAAGTATGTGAAATGTAAAATTAGTTTAATGCATCTTTTCATTTGCTTAAAAACATTGATAGGTTTCGTGTATTTAATTTAAAAATTTGCAAATTACTAGTCTGAGTTCGTGAGAGGTTAGTTTAGAAAGTAGGTGAGCCCAAAAGTAAAAGTTCTTTGAAAACAAAACGAAAATATTTAATTTTACGGCAGTGAAGGTATATTGAATTATTAAATATAATTTATGTATTACGAAGAGTAATTTATTTAGAAGATTTCACGGATATATCGTTAAGTCGCGAGATGTAAGAAGAGAGATAGAGAGATAGAGAGAGATAGAGAGAGATAGAGAGAGAGAGAGAGAGAGAGAGAGAGAGAGAGATATTACCGATAAATTTTAAATCTCATAGAAGAGGTCAAGGGGCTACTGCAATGCAGATGATTCAGACAGTTTCACAATTAGAAATCTTGCATGGACGAAGAGTAAAAGTAATTTCTTGATTAATGAACAAAAAATTTTGACGACTTCATTGTTGTGGTATTTTCTCTTGGCCTCAGCTAAATAATACGTGATTGGATGATGCAGTGTATGTCGACTGTTCTAGGAGGGAAAAGTGAGAGTGGTATAGAAAGGGAAGCCCTGAAACTGATATATTTAAGAAATATCGAATTGCTCAACTAGCACGCGGTATGATTATAAGGCGCATAAAGGAACGCTTTTCCGTTTTACTCGACTTTCCGCGAGGTTAACGCATTTGTATAAGCGATGGGGTAAGGAATGCGCGCAAAACGAGGCAAGTGGCATATTTAAAAATATTGGTGCTCCAAGTTTTCTAAAGATTTTAGCCTTAATACGCGAATTGATATTGTTGCCGTAAAGCAACGAGAAGTGTTAATAAATAATCGCTGGATAGGCATTGACACGAATGGACGAGGTCGATGATCGACTGGCATCGGCGCAATTATCGGAATGTTCACCTCGTTGGATATTGTAAGGTGACGAGCGACGAAAGCTCGATTGCACTTACGCATTGTGCAATATTGTGCAGCGGTGACTGGCCAACGGAAGTGAGACGACGCCGGGATCGATCGCAAGCTAGAAATCCTCCCAGGAGCCGCGCTAACTTTCCACGACGGCGTCTCTTAATTTCCCGGGCGCGATCGGGACGACGGCGGTGGCTGCGACCCGACCCGAATCGGTCCCGGCCCCCGCCTCCTCGACTTCTAACTTGCAGCGTTTCTCAATAAAGAAAGCCGTCGGAGAGACAGGAGAGGCCGTAAGGCTCCCGCGTCGTAAACAAGGACTCGCGAGAAAGGCCGAAGTGGGTGGCGGGCGTAAAGGAAAGTCGTCGGGGAGATAAGCCGCCGATGACTTTCTCCGCGGGGCGGGGGAGGCGGGTCGATGGTCTCGTTTCGCGGATAGGCGCGAGAGATCTGCGGAGGCCGCCGATCTCGATGAGGCGCCTGACCCGGATTGGGCCAGTTTTCACTCCGTAGCCTGGCTAGGCGGCGGGATGAGGGGGAAACGGGGATGGGGATTTGGCGGAATGGGGTGGCGAGGGGGCAGCCAGCCGGTGCCAGCGAATGTCAACCGGCAGCGGAACGAGAGCAATTGCGTTACGATTTGCGCGAGAGTTTATCGTCTACGAGAACCTGAGGCTGTCGAGATAAGGTGCTCGAGCCTTAGCGGGTCGACGGCTTTACATTGCCGTATTTGCCCGAAGGATAAACTGGAGTGTTGCCATAGTAAAATTGCACCGAACGAGCTTCCAGAGTCTCTTTTATTGGATTGTATCTTTGTAGCGCGCGAGCCTATGTTTTTGGTATATTAAATTAATAAGAAATGCTCTGTATCCGATAAGGGCCGTGTCACTGACAAGCGACGGCTCTATAAGAATCATCATCGTCATCATCATTGGATTTGTGTTTCTTTTGCAATAAGCTTTGAGATAAATTGAGAGAAATATATATTATAAAGCAGTGAAATTATCACTTGTCATATATCGGAAAGTAAAATTATAATTATCGACTGTGCGCAAGAAATATGTTTTTAATTTGGAATATTAAGGACTTATATGTGAAAAAATTTTTTAACTTTCAAACGAACTCCGACTTTATGAAGCGAACGCGGTAGGTTATTCACATCCGAGCGCTATAATTATCTTTCGCATAATTTTAATCGTACATTATTGCGATTGTTATTTATTAAAATCTGTATATACGGCTGCAGGTGAAATTTGCTCCAGTGAAATTGCAAAAATAGTTAAAATGCGAATTTTTATTTTCAAGTTTTCGACGTATTTCAAGAAAAGCGTCGGGTTGAAAAGCATAACGAATAGTGATTGCCGTCAATTTCACATTTATCACAAATGGTACAATTTTTATTGTCAAGCTATTCATATTTAACAGATTCGTATGTTCATAAAAATTTTTTACGAACACAAATTATGGATGATGTATTCTGACACTGCAATTTCTCTCTATGCACTATCGATACATTGTTTTGCTTAGGCTCTTAAATCGTAAACAATGTTTATATAATCAAAAATGTATAGATGCAAGTGTGCGCTCTTACGTTGTCTGCTTCGTCTCAATGTCTCCACAAGAATTATAATGAAATCGTGAAACTTATAGCAAGTATATTTGAATGCTATAAATTTAAACTATTGCACACTAGTGTGCATTGTATGTACATCATGCATTTCGTTCAGAGACATGAATTGTATGCCAATATTACGTACATGTAGTTACATATGAATATTGCAACGCAAAAAACTATGGATTTTTAAACTATTTCTATAATTCTATCGACGATTACAAAATATGCCGCATAAGAATAGTAGTTCGTATTACGTGTCGACCTGACTTTATCTCTTATAACATTGCTTCTCCTATAATGTTAAAATCATATTTTTCTCTCCGTACTTTTACTTATGTATCACGAAAATTTCTCAGGAGTAATAATCGGCGATTTCAACTTTTTTTATTCGTTCATTGTCGGCTATAAGGATATATATTTTTTTAAACTTCGTGGACTTTGGTCGCTTTTTCTTTCATTGTTGCTCGTGTAACGTGACTTTCCTTCTTCCAGAAACTATATCGCGAATGTTTCATTCTCATGTTCTATCTAATACGTTTATCAATGAGAATCTTGACCGCAAACAAAAATTGACAATATCGGAAACATTTTATACGGAAATAGCAATCCTCCTTAAATTTTATAATGAGAGAATCGAGTCTTTTATTAAAAAATTACCTATTTTACCAACTTTTTTTACTCTCTATTACGAATAACTATTATGAATAACACTTATGTCTTGGGAAATAATTTTCTTAACTAGATTCTTATTTTCCTATTATCTACAGGCATTATACAGTTATCTACGTAATTTACATATTCTGCTTGCAAGGAAAGTAAGCGTGATAAGTTTGAGTAACAATAATAGATTCCTAATGGCGAATAATCGTCATAAATTATGCACTATAATTCATTAATATGGTGACTTTTACATAAATATAGAAAAATCGTGCATGATTTAAGTAAAAAATTTAAGTACGACCTTTATAGGATAAATGCATTTGAAAATAAACGTGAAATCTACGCTTAGTACGGCTAATACACGTAGCACTCTTTATATTTACATCTTAATGTGCGCGTATTATCTATGCTTTTATGATTGGCTTAAGTGAAGCGAGAGTTGGGTAAGTTTTGAAGACGAGCCAAGTCAGTTCACTTGCCGCCTTGAAGTAAGAATAGAAGTCAGGACAACCCCATGAAAATTCCGAGCAAACCCCTCGCTTACAGGTGCCGAGGGCCAAAGTTAAAAAGAATTCGAAAACTTGGCACAAGTAGGGCAAACCGGAAAAACTTGTAAGCGACGGTCCACCCATGCGTCCTGTCGCGAAAGTGGTTATACTCCACGTCAGTCTCACGCTTTCACGGTAGAGTCGCGAGTGTCATTGAACCCCGCGAAGTGCATAAACTTCTCCTGGCTTATGCAAGAACCTTATAACGCGCAGACTTGTATCCTTTGTTTGCTTTTTCCTACGGACGTAGCTTTCAGCTTATTACGTAGATAGGGGAGAGATTTTGGCCGAGCAGGAGCTCATTTTATGTAATCCAGCTGGTTTCATTCGTCCGCTGCGAGGGGGGAAAATAGTGATATTCGTTGGCGCTCAAGTTAGTTGTGATGTGTCTTAGGCACTCGTTCATATAAATTGAAAGTCCGATTTCGATACGAAGTTACATTATTGCATGTCCATTAAAATATGTACGCGCGAGTCTAGTTTGAATATCGTAAATTCCAATTATCCCTGCGTTCACCGAGACTGCAAAGTAACGTAGCTCGCAATGTCACGTAATAGATTTATAGAAACAAGTGTATATAGGCTACCATCGGCATGTTTAGCAAAATTTAATCCTCGGATTCTTTTAAATTACAGATAAATTAATATAAATATATGATTAGAGTATATAAATATTTCACATATTCAATGGGAAGTGAAGAATTTTGTAAGCCAAGTGATACTTTTACTTTGTTCAGATAAATGTAATTCTACTTGAACTTGTAAAGTTTTTTCTCGCACAATATGCACTAATGTCGAGATAGGAAATTTCCTCTTTCATTTCTTCAAATCCTTAAAGTAAGGTACGATAGTCCTTTAATGCTAATTACACAACAATACCTTACCGCTTCATCCTCGTATTCCATTGATATTCGACTACTTACCCTCGAATACATGAGCACAGCTCAATTGTAATTATAATTGCATAAACAGCGGCTTTTCTAGCGCGCAGCCCACGCATAGCCAACTCTCCCTTTCGGCCGAACGTTAGAAAGTTGCGATCGTGGGCTCAATGGGCAGGTTCCATGCAGGATTTGCAACGACAATAGGGAGCAAAGTCCGCGCGTTACTGCGAGTGATGGGCACGCTCGCTGATTGCGAGATAAAAGAGAAATACGAGTGGCTGGCGATAGAGAGAGGACTATCGATCCGATGCCTCGCTGATCAGGTGGCGAGATTAAGTTACGCTCGATCGAGCCTCCTAACATTATTTCTCCACGCCTCTGTACACTTCAACGCTCGGTATTACTTTCGAATTACGAGAAGTCGCCGTACAATTAACGATATCAATCTATATTTTTATGCACTGTTCGCTCATATGGATTAGGTCACCGGGGCTGATTAATTTAGGTAAGCCAATGCACTAACAACGGGTGTATCCGCTGTCGATTTTTTTCCTTTTTCGATACTACTACTACATTAGTCCATGGCATTTACGTGGAGTGCAATTTCTAGATTGAAATTTGGCTAATGTTGTTTCACTCCATTGCTTTTAATAAAATATTTGCATTTTCGTTCGTTAGTTTTATTATTAATACGTATTGTGCTTTGACTTATTAGAGCCTTGAAAGATATTAATTTTTCGTTTTTGCTCACACAGTTTTTAGTTTTTCAATAGAGTGTTAAATTAAAGTTATGAAATAATTAGAAACATAATGTCTGCTATCCATTTGTAAAATTCAATAAAATCATCATTATTATCACTGTAAAAATAATAATAATTAATTTGTAATATTTTACGATGAGTTTTCATATATAATTGCATCCATTGAGCCTCGTCTAACACTGAAAATTATTTTATAAAAAATCTGTAGCGGCTTTACGGAATATTAATAGAGGCACGTACGAAAGTGCGTTTTGAGTTTGTATTTCATTTGCTGTCTTTACTCTCTGGTATTTTACTTTCACTAGCAGTACAAAATTTTGTTTAATTACAGAATCGATTATATGAATTGTAATTTATTCAACATTTTTTCACCAATGTAATGTAATTAATATTTGCATACAACCAAAATAAGGACAAAGTTTTTTCATGTATAGACGCATGTGTTGATGTTTACATTGTGCGAGCTTACACAAGTATATGTGTTTCTGTATTAAACAAAATGTATGATCTCGACTAAAATGATTTCCATTAAAATTTTCTTCAATTTCTATATATGCATCACATTACCATAGATGCATCGTTTATTCGTTGAAACCATTAAAAGATGTCAAAACTTCATGATTTAATGTTCAAATTGGCGAATCATTAATACAAAGAAATAAAGATGTAATTATCAAGAATTAATCGGATAACAAGATTAATAGAGTTCAAATTACATTAAAATTAAATTAAATTAAGCTGCCTGTAAAACTTTAATCA